CCCCAAAACCCCAAAACCCCAAGAGATATTATAAAAAATTACGAAGAAAGGTTGTAGTATAAAATAAAAAAATATCAGAAATATTTATATTTTAAGGAAGAGTATTTACTCTAAAATGATTTCAGATGAAGGTAAAACTAGCAAAACTGATGGAATTTTGGCTAATGATTCCAACGACAATGATCTACTGCAAGGTCTAATCCAAGTCTAGAGTGAATATGTAGTTAATACTCTTTACCCAACATTGAAAGAAGCCATTAAACTATATTTAATTGAAGCATAAAGAAATGGACATTTTCAAGAATTTTTAAGTAAACAAGGACTTTGTAGTAAATCAAGCGAGCATGATGATCCATTCAAAGGATATGCTTTTAAAACTTCACAGCCCACATAAAGAGTTGACATGTCATCTAAAAGAAGCACCTTTGGAGCTACCAGATTTAGGTCCGGATCTCTACCGATAGACCAAAATGTTCAATCTTTTTAATCTAATTTTGAGCCACTTGAATGCTTCAAAGATATCCTGAATGAACTCAGCAAACACAAACTTCAATCAAATGAAGATAGTAATAAATTCAAGACACCAGTTAAGCCTTCTGAAAGCTATCTTCAAAGTAAGAGAAGATCTGTGTTTTCTAGACCATATTAAACTGTTTTAGAAATGGAGGAGTTCAACCCACCAGTGTATTAAAAGACTCAGGATCAGCTTGAAAAGCTAACGAATGTTCTAAAAAACTCTTTCCTGACTAAAAACCTAACCTAATTTGAGCTAAAAATTATTGCTGATGCTATGTTCCTTAAGTAATTCAAGAGAAATGAGCTGATAATTAAATATGGAGATCTTGGCCATGAGTACTTCATATTAGATTAGGGATAAATAGAGGTAATTGTTTATAAAGAGGGAACTGACCCAAATGATCCTGAAATAAGAAAGAAAATATAAAATTCCAGATTTATCCCACCTGGTGTAGGGTTCGGTGAGATCGCCTTGCTTTATAATGACAAGAGGACTGCTTCAATTAGAGCAGCTGTTGATTGCAATGTCTGGGTCCTTGAGGGAAAAGTATTTAAAAATATCATAATCAAATCTACAATTAAAAGAAGAAACATTGAATTATCATTCCTAGACAAAGTAGATCTTTTTGCTAAGCTTGAAAGATATGAGAAATTGAAGCTCATAGATGGGCTTGAGCCTAAAAAATATTATTAAACTGATTTTATCTTCGAAGAGGGAGAGGATGGTGACTATTTTTACATTATTGAAGATGGAGAAGTTGAGTGTTTGAAAAATTCTCAATGCGAGCCTTTGGAATACATAAATGTAAGAAACCTAAAATCAGGAGAACATTTCGGTGAATTGGCTCTAATCAACAATTAAAAAAGATCACTATCAGTAAGAGTAATCTCTGTTGAATGCAAAGTACTTCGCTTAAACACAGACGCCTTCAACCGTATTCTTGGAGATATCAATATCTAACTTAGAAAGAATTATGATGGTGAATTCGATAGAAAATTCTCTTAGCTTACCCCTTATATTTTGAGTAGAAACACAATTTCGACAGTCATAGAAGATATTGAACATGAAGATCAGTTCAAAAATATGGGTGACATTGAGGAATCACTTATCAGATGAATGAATCACAGTAATCATAGTAAAGATGAAATCAACTATTACCAACATTAATGATATTAGCTTAGTTTATGAGTTAGAAGCAATTCTAAACGTTAATAATGCCGAGATATTCAAAATAATCTACTTAAGACTTTTTAATAGTAATCTTTGTCTAGCTATTATGATACCTTAACTCAATTAGCTGTATAACTCAATGAAATTTGATGTTTGGGGTTTTGGGGTTTT